TCAGAAGGGGAAAGGAGAAACAAAATTATTCCAAGTATGTCTCGGACCTTAGGAATAAGCTTAAATCTTCTTATGAGAACGCTGCCAAGGAGTCCAAACGGGCGGGGGAGAGGCAGAAAGATGTGTATGACAAGAGGATGCGAGGGTCTAGTATTCAGGAGGGAGATCGTGTGTTAGTTCAGAAACTAGTCCATGATGGAAAACACAAGTTAGCGGATAAATGGGAGGATATACCAGTGTTTGATGTCAAACCTGAATCGATGGAGGGACGTACCCGACGACTCCATAGGAATTTATTGCTACCGATTGGTGGACTCTTGTGGGATGTTGTGGACAAAGAAGTTCAACAACACCCACAACAGAGACACCAGGAACCAAAATCCAGGAAGGATGATGATGATGATGATGATGATGATGATGATAAACACATTATTGTGGTCAATGGTCCCCTAGCGGACGTGTCAGGCATCCCTGCCAATGCCATTGATGATACGGAAGCTGGCGAGGACACTGGAACTTCACAATTGAAAAGCGACGGCTTGGATATTGGTGAAGTTGGAGGTCATGGGGTTAATGGTGACGATCATACTTTCTCTATGGAGGAAGATATTCCCCAACCTCAAGCTGACCTGAAGCCATCCCTGGATATTGAAGAGGATGGAGACGCAGCATCTGTTGCCAATGCTGAAAATACCAGGCAGGCCCCTATTCCCCTTCCAAGGAGATCAACCAGGAATCGAATGCCCCCTAAGTGGCACAAAGATTTTGTGTTACCTCAGGCATCCGTCCCTACTCCTGATTGGAGAGCAAGAGCGGAATACATCCAACAATTGATGGAGTCAGGAGTTGTGGACCGTGTTTGAATTTTATATAAAGACGAGCATGGGATTCCTTAAAAGTCATTCCTGTAATGGGATGGGGTGGGCTGCCTTAATGTTTGGGAACAGATGACCTGTCTTCAAGTATATTCCTGTATTGACATGTGACGGACTATAGGGATGTTGATTGGACAAGACTTACCTGAAGTTTTTGCTTTCTACCTCACTCTGACTTCTATCCACATTTTCACACGGGGCACTCTGAGGTGTAAGTCCTTGATTTTTAAAGGAGCTTTCTAAGAGGCGGTGCCTTAGCTGTATTTGGTGAGGTGAACCCTTCAGTCCCTTTGGTCCCAGGCAATGACCTGTATGGCTCTTAAGCCACATGTAAACCCCTGCAATATCTCGTAGGGGTTTTATTTACACGTAATAAAAATACCATCGAACCCACAACATCTCTTTGATTTTTGAGACTGTTACACACATAAAATGGGCTTATCAAACAATTCTAATTGTAATTTCTGTAATAGAGAAAGGTAGACAATCGTGCATATGTTCTGGGAATGTGATGAGGTTCAGAATTTTCAGGCAAGTTTTGAAAGGTTGTTAAATGCACTAACAATTGCATTACCTATTAATAAAGAAACATTGTTATTTGGTTTTGTAAATAACACAGGCATTTACAATCGCATTGATAATGAACTTCTTCTTCTAATCAAATCCTATATCTACAGAACCAGAACTATACATGGTACTTTCTCTGTTATGGCTCTAGCTAATGTAATAAAAGAAAACTATGTGGTTCAAAAATGTATTTCATATGGTAAAAGTGATCCTTGTCTACAATTTTTTTTTAAATGAATGGAAGAAATGCATGAAATTAGTTGATTTTGCCTAAATTCTGACATAATTTAGGCTGATACACCTTAATTATTCAGTAACAATTCTGTTACTTAACTTTAATTAGAATCTAGCTCTGTTTTGACTTCCTTCCCTGACATGCTTGTTCTGATATCTGCTTTGCTCAAGTAACCTATTCCAATCACTTTCCGTCCGTCGTCGTCCGTCGTGCGTAAACTTTTTACATTTTCAACTTCTTCTCAACAACCAGTGGATGGATTTTTTTTTCAAACTTGGTCGGAATCATCCTTGGTAGATGAGGCTACCAAATTGTAAAATTGGGATTCCCACCCCAACCCTAGGGGCCAGGGCGGGGCCCAAAAGGGAAAATTAACCAATATTTCAAAAATCTTCTTCTTTAGACTCAGAGGTATTACAGTCATTTTCTCTGCATGGATGGAAAGATCATCAGGGGCTTTATTTAAATTGTAAATTTCAGGACCCCAAGCTATCCGTTCTCCCTTGGGGAGGGGGTAAAGTTTACTATAGTTTATATAGGGAAACAACACTTATGGGTATATTTTGACAATTTTCAGTTGGAAATCATTTTTACTTGGTCAGAATCATCTTTGGTGGATGACAGTATCACATTGTAAACTTGGAATTCCTGCCCCATCCCCAGGGGTTAAAGCGGGGCCCCAAAGGGAACATTTACAAATATTTTAAAATTCTTATCCTTTGATGACATGACTAGTATTGTATTTCACTTAATTTACATGCTGATTTCCACATCACATCTAAACAATAAAATAAAGCTACCAGTACCTATGATATAACTCAGGTGACCGCTAAAGCCCTTGGGCCTCTTGTTTGTTTTTTTACCAGCTTCTTTTTCTTTCCTTTTATACTTCCTTCTTCCTTATAGCAATATAGTGTGATATTAAATGAAATAATACCTATCCATATGCAGTTTTTAGTGATACAAATTTCTTTTTGCATAATTTGTATGGTATGAGTGCACACGTGATATGAAAGATGATTGGTGACAAATAGGTTATTAAATGATCTGAATGAATTACTGATCCATTATTATTGTCACTGTATAGAAAAAAATCTTTTGAAAATAAAACAATATATAAAAAAAGAATGGATGGCTCATTTAAATGGACAACTTTATCAATATTTCTAACATCTAGCATTAAATAAATTGAAAATAAAATCAAAATGAGTCGAGAAATCCAATGTAAAATGTAAAATGAGCAAAGAAATAAAAAGGGGGAAAATAACGTAACGTATCAAGACGTGATGTCTCGTCACTGCATTATGTTATAATTGTCTTTTTACTGTATGAACATCCAGTTGTGCACCTGTAATTATATAACATGGACACATGACATTATATTGTATGTTTTTGGTATATACACAACATATACATGAGAAATAAAGAAACACAGCTCAAATTTACAAACAAACTAAAACATTTACACTTTCGTTTCGGTTCCGATCGGGGTCCGTTTTGGTCACACACAATCTAAACTGTATTGGATTCCCTTTAAATAGCTCATGTTTCCATTTCGACTCCGTTTCGTTTCGGTTTCGGTTTCATTTCGGTCCGTTTCGGTGATTCGTCGCACCCAAATACAACTATGTCAACGAAGGCGGGTTGCTGTTCTAGAATGGATGTATTTTTGTATTAATATTTTTTTCACCAATTAGAGGTAATCCGAATAACAATTGTAGATTGATTTGTTACTAGCATTATTGTTAATAGGTTCTAGGGCGGATATATGCGCGTATAGGATCCATCTGAGTTTTGCATTCACTTCGCCCACAAATGTAACATAAAAAGGCAAAGCCTCAAAAGTCAGAAAAAAGCCATGTAGCTTTTGCTAATTTGTGACATTATATAGGAATATTGAGAGTTTTGCATCATAGATACATTCATTTGTCCTTGTCATGAACTGATAAGTATATTTTTAAGAGTAGGCCTATCTTCAGTAGGGCTACTGGATATACACGTATATATCTAAACATCGATATAGGAGCTACCGTCATCTTATGTTCTGAGAAATATTGATGATATAAAAAGGGTTTGGGGGACACAACAGCAAAAAATCCGAATAAATTAATCTGTTCATATTGGCTCAGACATTTTGAATATCTTGTTAATTTAGATTCATCAGGAAAGAGATATAACACAGCGGATATTTTCGTGGAATTCCGACAATAGACACATTTTTGTCGGAGATAAAAAGGAGAGCTGTCTTTCGCATTTGAAATACATTTAAATTTTTGCGATGCTTTCCAATAACAAAGTGAATGAATCAACAAACAAAATATTGTCTGTAAAATAAAATAAATCATTCTAATATGTATCTCAAAAGACGGAGCTTCTAGANGGGGGGGGGGGGGGGGGGGGGGAGGGCTTACCCCCGTACCCCTAGAATGGCTTTGCGGCCTCGGTGAAACTACCTTCATGTACATCGCAAACAGCCCAGCTACGCGCCTGATATTAATTTAGTTTAAACATATTCTATTGATCAAAGGGATTGGACAAGAAGTTATTTAAACTTATTATAGTCCTCTCCTAAATATGTATTGTAAAAATAATGTACAAGAATAGAGTGTAGGTTGGCAGAAGGGGGTTTTGAAAATATGTGTCATTTACCGGTAATCAGTTTATGGAATACACCAGAAGTAACCTCTGCGTGCTCATTGGAAATGTTAAGCCTGCTGTTTCCCACTGCATGATACAGTAAGTGGCGACTAATGCGGATGGAGCTGCAGAATCTGAGGTTTTTCTTCGGTGTCTTCAGCTAGGGACATTGAGGAAACCAGAATTTATTTGCTGCCCCGATTGTGACACTCAGTGATCTTTATCTTCTATTTCTATCATTTCTTTTTCTTTTCTTTCTCTTTCGGTGATGTCTCACTAGGCACCCGCCTTCATATGACCTTATAACTGTTGTCTGGACGTTAAACCTAAACAAACAAATTTTGTATAAATGGTGTGTCTGACCCCTCTGGGGGCAGAGGGACGGGGCCCAATAGGGGAAATAGAGGTAAAACCTTTAAAAAAACTTCTTAACCATAGGGATTAAGGGATTTTATCCTATTTTAGTCTGGAGCATTTGTATAAGCAGTGGGTGTGGTCTCCAAGGGGGCAGAAGGGTCGGACCCAATAGGGGAAATAGAAGTAAACCTTTAAAATCCTTCTTCTACCATAGTGATTAAGGGATTTTATCCTGATTTAGTCTGGAGCATCCTTGAGCCAAAAGGACTCAATTTTATATAAACGGTGGGTTCTGGTATATCGTTTTGGGTCCTTGTGTACTTCCTCAGGGGTCTGATATGGAGGCAAAGGATGAGGATGATTATAACGACCTGGAGATAGACACGCCCTCTGGTCACCAGTTCCATGACGTAAACAATGTATTTAATATGGAGGATAGGATGTTCCCGCTAGGTAACTGTCACTGTGTGAATGTGTGTAGAAAGCTGTTTTGTTTGCATCCATTTATCAGACAAAAGGGCAAGAAGTCTGAAATGTCAAAACTTGAATCACAATAACATCACAGTCATAGAGTGCCATCACAGTCGAAAAATATCTTTGTTGTAAAGACTCAGATATTTATTAGGTGTGTAGCTGATATTGTGTTATCTTTACTTAAATAATCTAAAATATCTATTTTGTAGGTTTAAGTATTATTAGTGTAATCATTTCATAAGTGTTGGATTACCTTTTTGCAACTTTTGAAAAGAATTCAGCAAAAAAGGGCCAACCTGTCACACATTGGAACTAAGACTGTGTAACACCTTGATGTATTCACTGTCTTTTGTTTTGCATTTTTGTGGTTATTGTGAGAATTAGTACAGCAAAGAGGAAAACAGTATAAATTTCAAGTTCAAACACTTCAGCTGATATCATTGAAATAACATAAAATGCAAAGTGAAGTACCCAAAACTGTTTAAATTCCACCCCTTTAGAATCAGAATCAGGATATCTGCCACCTGATTGCCTGCTGTCCACAGCCTCACCCTTGGTGATGTCAACGTTCCTGACCCCAGCTAACCCGCTTCCCCTCGATCACCACCCTTGGGGCTCCATTGGCAGATAGGCCGAGGTAACTTCATTGTATAATGGTGATTTACTGATTCAAATAGTGATAACAATATTTTGAGCAGAAGTTTTGATAATTGACAGTTCAAAAGCAGAACAGATAAACTTTATAAGTGTTTTCAATGTAGCATATATTAAGATCTCGTTGGTACTTAATTTCTTCAGTTCACAAAAATAGCTGTGTTACAATCTGTCCAGCTAGCGAATACTATCTGTTGCACAACAACAGTTTTACTGGAGTATTTTATTTGCCAGACAATTTCTAGTAATTATGAAATCTCAAACGGAAATATGATGGAATTATTGTGGTTGTATTTTGGCATGTTAAGTACCCTATTTATCTTTTGGTACAAATGACTGACTTAATAATACATCCAAATGTATGTATTTTTATGAACAGACCAAGAGTCCCCAATGATGGCTGACTGAATATGGCCTCCCTGCTACTGAGTGATCAAGATCCTGCTCCTGCTTCCCAGCGGACTGGTGTATCAACGTTTGAGGGACTGGGGGAGACAACTGCACCACTTTTCGGTAGCCAGCCTGTGTCTGTTGTGCCTGCTGCACCCACAGAGGGTAGCATCACTCCAGAGGAAGTGTCGGGGATCAGCAGCTCGGGGGCGGTCACTGTCCAGTCATCAGGTTAGTTCATCACAGTTCAAGGTTTAAAGGATTTCACTTTCTTGTAAAGTTGATAGGCTTTAGCAAAACTTGAATTGATACCACATTAGTTGTACTCAATTTGTGCTTCCACTGTAACCATAAAAAGAGAGAATGCCAGAGCCAATCTATTGTTTTCTGATGTAGAATAAGTGAAACACTTGCTGTTAGGGGAATGCAGGGTGATTGTACTTTAGGATACACTTCTTGGTAATCATTCATTATTCAGTTATCTGTTTGAACTTGAAACGAACTGACAGTCACAAATTGGGATCAACAGGCACAGATTGGAACTGAGGCTGACCTCTACAAAATTGGGCATGTGCAGGTAAAGGGGACCAGTCATGCCTGGTCAAAAATAAATTATGGACTATCACTAGTTTGTGCATATAACAAGGTAAATGCGCCAATATGAAGGAAAAGTTATACAATTCAGTTCACAGTAGAAGGCAGAACATTGAAATCTTGGTTCATGGGTTTTTATGTTTTAGTGGTTTACCGCTAAGTATGTTTGTGCCACCTGGAACGTTTCAACCGGGATAAACAACAGTAGCACTGGCATCTTAAAAATGATTGTAACTTGGGACTCAATAGTAGGGGTGTAATGATTCACCAAGGGACTCTATAGTAGGAGTGTAATGATTCACCAAGGGACTCTATAGTAGGGGTGTAATTATTCACCAAGGGACTCTATATTAGGGGTGTAATGATTCACCAAGGGACTCTATAGTAGGGGTGTAATGATTCACCAAGGGACTCTATAGTAGGGGTGTAATGATTCACCAAGGGACTCTATAGTAGGGGTGTAATGATTCACCAAGGGACTCTATAGTAGGGGTGTAATGATTCACCAAGGGACTCTATAGTAGGGGTGTAATGATTCACCAAGGGACTCTATAGTAGGGGTGTAATGATTCACCAAGGGACTCTATAGTAGGGGTGTAATGATTCACCAAGGGACTCTATAGTAGGGGTGTAATGATTCACCAAGGGACTCTATAGTAGGGGTGTAATGATTCACCAAGGGACTCTATAGTAGGGGTGTAATGATTCACCAAGGGACTCTATAGTAGGGGTGTAATGATTCACCAAGGGACTCTATAGTAGGGGTGTAATGATTCACCAAGGGACTCTATAGTAGGGGTGTAATGATTCACCAAGGGACTCTATAGTAGGGGTGTAATGATTCACCAAGGGACTCTATAGTAGGGGTGTAATGATTCACCAAGGGACTCTATAGTAGGGGTGTAATGATTCACCAAGGGACTCTATAGTAGGGGTGTAATGATTCACCAAGGGACTCTATAGTAGGGGTGTAATGATTCACCAAGGGACTCTATAGTAGGGGTGTAATGATTCACCAAGGGACTCTATAGTAGGGGTGTAATGATTCACCAAGGGACTCTATAGTAGGGGTGTAATGATTCACCAAGGGACTCTATAGTAGGGGTGTAATGATTCACCAAGGGACTCTATAGTAGGGGTGTAATGATTCACCAAGGGACTCTATAGTAGGGGTGTAATGATTCACCAAGGGACTCTATAGTAGGGGTGTAATGATTCACCAAGGGACTCTATAGTAGGGGTGTAATGATTCACCAAGGGACTCTATAGTAGGGGTGTAATGATTCACCAAGGGACTCTATAGTAGGGGTGTAATGATTCACCAAGGGACTCTATAGTAGGGGTGTAATGATTCACCAAGGGACTCTATAGTAGGGGTGTAATGATTCACCAAGGGACTCTATAGTAGGGGTGTAATGATTCACCAAGGGACTCTATAGTAGGGGTGTAATGATTCACCAAGGGGGTGTAATGATTCACCAAGGGACTCTATAGTAGGGGTGTAATGATTCACCAAGGGACTCTATAGTAGGGGTGAAATGATTCACCAAGGGACTCAATAGTTGGGGTGAAATGATTCACCAAGGGACTCTATAGTAGGGGTGTAATGATTTACCAAGGGACTCAATAGTAGGGGTGTAATGATTCACCAAGGGCCTCTATAGTAGGGGTGTAATGATTCACCCAGGGACTCAATAGTAGGGGTATAATGATTCACCGAGGGACTCTATAGTAGGGGTGTAATTATTTACCAAGGGACTCAATAGTAGGGGTGAAATGATTCACCAAGGGACTCTATAGTAGTGGTGTAATGATTCACCAAGGGACTCTGTAGTAGGGGTGTAATGATTCACCAAGGGACTCAATAGTAGGGGTATAATGATTCACCAAGGGACTCTATAGTAGGGGTGAAATGATTCACCAAGGGACTCAATAGTAGGGGTGTAATGATTCACCAAGGGACTCTATAGTAGGGGTGTAATGATTCACCAAGGGGGTGTAATGATTCACCAATGCATCGTTTTCAGGTGTTGAAAAGGTGCTTTTAAGGATTAATGTACACACTAGATCATCAAAATTCACTCCATTCCATGCAGCAGTTTCCAGAGAGTATTATCCTGGTATTATATTCAAGCCAGAAGTTAATGAATTAGGTAATGATGTATAAATAGTATATTTTGGTATTTAATGTTATTTATAATGAACCTATTATACTGACCTGATACGAAATTGAAGACAGGTTTCAAATAACTGCTAAATACACATTGTATATATCTTCTAGATATCGTGATTGGTATGGTATTGCGACCCAAGTATCGTGATACGTATCGTATCGCAGCATCACTCACGATATAGGTCACCCCTACTCAAGAGACAATATTAATACACAGTAAAAAGCAGACTAGCAGCTACAAGTGTTAAAACATGGGGTCCAAGTGCACTTAATGATGATACGCAAGAGTCTGAATTTTTCATGACTGAACAAACTTAATCACTCTATTTTTTTTCTCTGAAAGTGCCTTGGATAGTTTTGTGTTGAGATATGATGACTTCTGACATTATAGAGTTGGAGAACTTTGGTTTGTATTCTCTTTTGATTACTGTTGATTCTTAGAAGGCATGTGGCTGTGAACAGGACTCAAGTTTATGGTTGCATGTTGGTACCTCATGAGTTAGTCACACAGTGATACAATTGCAGCTCCTGACTTTGAGAAAAGTCATTATATATGATACAGTTGGACTATCAGTCAATTAACTAACTTCACATTTTCATCCTTAACTGTTTGATTGTAGGTGTCATTTAAAAAAATGTTAAATGAATATTCCATTAGAATATGTAGAGCTTGGTTTGAGCTTTAAAAAAACCTTTATACCTCTGACCTTATGTTGACATAGGTTTTTAAGGGAGATTTGGAAACTGGTGGGCGAAGACAACCTAATAGTGGGTACTACATTTGTACAATTCACCAGTTATCATATTCACCCTAGTTACTTAAGTCGTGACGAGAACAAATTCGTATTACATTTTTTTGGTAAAAAGAAATTTGACACTTGGTAAATATTGAAATTTCACTTGAACCATAGCTATGGTCCGCTGCTCTGACATGAACATCCAATATGGTTGGTGAATTGCACTGAATGATGATTTACAGTCTGAATTGTTTGTGACTGAACAAATTAATCACTCTAAAAAATTTCTCTGAATGTGCATTTTCTGTACATTTCAGATTGTTGTTGGTATAACTTATTTTACATTAAATATTATGAACCGTGTTGGTGCCTGTCAATGGGTTTGAACAACATGCCAGTAATCAAGTTCATGAGTTGCACATTGTGATGAAACACAGAGTCTTAATTGTTTATGACTGAACAAATTAATCATTCTAATATTTTTCTCTGAAAGTGCCTCAAAAAGATAAACACGCATGGCGATTTTTCACCTTTCTGATTTGTATAAGTATGACTTGAGGTTTGTAATGATTTATGTATGACCTCTGACCTAATATAACTTTAATATAGATTCTTTGGCCCCTGACCTTGTATGACCTTTGGGTTTTAATACAAAATGTTTGACTGCTGATCTTGTGTTTACAGCGAGTTCAGAAGAGTTAGCTGGGTCAGGCCTAGAGAAATTGCCCACCACTTCATCTCCAATCATCAGTCATGAGACAGCACAGTCCATCAACTCGGGCCGTCACAGTTTCCCCATGGATGGCGCTTCAATGTAAGTTTTACTTTCAACAAGTCCATTCATAAAATCATTGTGATAATTGTCTACATGTCATCGTACTACCTATAGTGCTGATTCAAATGTAGGATTCATGGGATAATTTTTAGCTCACCTGGCACAAAGTGCCAAGTGAGCTTATGCCGTGGTGCGGCGTCCGTCGTCCGTCCGTCCGTCGTCCGGTGTCAATATTTTACTTTATACGACTTCTTCTTAATAACCAAAAGGCCTAGGGTGTCAATATTTGGTCAGAAGCAAACTGGGATGAAGGGCTACAAAGTTTGTTAAAATTAATGACCTTCACCCATTTTCAAGGTCACAGGGGTCAAATATGTTAAAAACTTTAAACATCTTCTTCTCGATAACCAAAATGCCCAGGGATATGATATTTGGCCAGTAGCATGCTTGGGTGAAGGAGTTTGTTCAAATGAATGACCTTAACCCATATTCAAGGTCACATGCGTAAAATATGTTAAAAACTTTAAATAACTTCTTCTCAATAACTAACTAAAATGCCCAGGTTGAAGATATTTAGTCAGTAGCATGCTGAGATGAAGGGCTACAAAGTTTGTTCAAATGAATGACCTTCACCCATATTCAAGGTCACAGGGGTCAAATATGTTAAAAACTTTAAACAACTTCTTCTCAATAACCAAAATGCCCAGGGTGATCTATTTTGGCCAGTGCATGCTGAGATGAAGGGCTACAAAGTTTGTACAAATGAATGACCTTCTCCCATATTCAAGGTCACAGTGGTCAAATATGTTAAAAACTTTAAACAACTTCTTCTCAATAACCAAAATGCCCAGGGTAATGATATTTGGCCAGTAGCATGCTGAGAAAAAGGGCTACAAAGTTTGTTCAAATAAATGACCTTCACCCATATTCGAGGTCACATGCGTAAAATATGTTAAAAACTTTAAACAACTTCTTCTGAATAACCAAAATGCCCAGAGTGATCTATTTTGGCCAGTATTATGCTGGGGTAAAGGGCTATCAAGTTTGTTCAAATGAATGACCTTCACTTATATTCAAGGTCACAGGGGTCAAATATGTGAAAAACATTAAACAACTTCTTCTGAATAACCAAAATGCACAGGGTTATGATATTTTGCCAGAAGCATACTGAGATGAAGGGCTACAAAGGTTGTTCAAATGCATGACCTTCACCCATATTCAAGGTCACAGGGGTCAAATATGTTAAAAACATTAAACAACTTCTTCTGAATAACCAAAATGCCCAGGGTGAAGATATTTAGTCAGTAGCATACTAGGATCGAGGGCTACCAAGTTTGTTTAAATGTATGACCTTGAATCATATTCAAGGTCACAAGGAGCAAATATGTTCAAAATATTTAAACAACTTGTTCTGAATAACCAAAAGGCTCAGGATGTTGATTTTAGTCAGTAGTATGCTGGGATCAAGGCCTACTATGTTTGTTAAAGTGAATGACTTTGACTTATATTCAAGGTCATAGGGGTCAAATTTGTTTAAAATCTTTAAACGACCCCTTCTAAATAACCATGGGTCCCAGGATGTTGATACTTTGCTAGTTGCATCCTGAGATGAAAGGCTATGAAATTTGTTCAACATAATGACTTTGTTTGACTTTCAATCACAGGGGTGAAATGTTTAAAAAAAAATTAACCGGGTCTTTTGAATGAATTTTAATCATAAATAATGATATTTTGCCTGTAGCTTTATTTTAGATCACTTTTAAGGTTACAAATGTGAGATTTATACCAGGTGAGCGATGAAGGCCCATTGGGCCTCTTGTTATTATTTGCACGCTGCAAACAGGATGATTTTAATACTTAATTGGATATGGTTCAGATTTTATCAGTCAGTAGATTGCGTCATGCCTTGGTTCAAGCAGATTCTGGCTACTATATGTCTATTAAGCAATTAAGTGGACAGAAATCTATGAATTATGAAAAATGTTTTGTATGTATTCATAACTTATACATAAATTTTGTATACCTTTCAGGCTGGAGAGTGCCACTGGGATGTCGGACGTCCCCACTTCCACCTCCGGGCCCCTTGACCCCAACGCCCCACTCCTGCCTAGCAGTTTTCTCAGCTCCCTAGACCCTGAGTCCATCCCCCTCCCCAGTCTTGTCACGGAGGGTGCCATAGGTGGTTCAAACTTGTGGAGCGTACAACCCTCTACCCGGACTATCCCCACCACTACCACTACCACCATAACCACTATAGACTCGACAGGGTCTATGGAAGGACCGTCTTCCTCACGCAGTGCATCAGGTACACCAAATTAGTGTCTATGTTTCAGATACAGTATTAACCCATTAACTGTTGCCACGGGCTGCAGCAGATCAGGCCTCACTAGGATATCAGTACTATGTGCTGATGTCTTGTGCTTGTATTTTATTTAAAAAAAAAAGCATATGACATCACTACTAACAATTCTTGTGGCATGATTTTAGTAGAATCCATGGCAGATGCTGCATTAATTACACGAAACTTATTGCTGTTTGACAATGGAAATTCTATTTTGAGGCAATTTTACACAGCACATGTCAGGTAACACTGTTTGTAATGACTTAATTAAATTGGACATGAGGGAATAGAAGCATTACATGGTTCATAGAGGATTTTAATTCAAAAGCATAAACATCAACAGATCTAATCATTCAGAGATGTAATAGTTTCAAAACAGATATGTCAGTTTCTGGTTATTGTTTCGCCTACGGCGGATTTTGGAAAGGCACATAGGCGTTGCTTTTCCGACGGCGACGTCAACAATGTTAAGGTTTTGCGTTTAGCTCTGTTTCTGACGAAGCTACACCAACAAAACCTCGATCATAGATGTAGCATGGGTAATGGAGCCTACTGCACTAAATACATTTCCTTGATTTCTGCATTTTTTTGGAAAAAAACTCATATTTCTGGACTGAGAAAAAAACTCAACGTTAAGGTTTTGCGTTTAGCTCTTGCATATTAGGCTCTTTCTGAAAGCAATTCTCTTTAAATATATCATAAGTACTATGTCAAATGCTTATTATATTGACAAAGCGGGACAGGCGACACATATGATTTACACAGGATTATATTTACATTCTTGATGTTTGTTCTGTATATGAATCTACCAACTGAAAACAACTGCCATTAGACTATGAATACAACAATTATCGTCTGGTCAGCTGATTTTACACACAATGACAGATCATATAACTACGCATAGTACCGTTTCTGAGAATAGTTATCTCCCCTTCTCTGAGAAAACGTAGGTGCGAGAAATAATAATAAACATTACAAAAATCATGAATGGTGCACCATTGTACTATTATTATTATTCTTTCTAATTTAAAACTAAAACAATTACTTGTAACATTGTCATAATAAATACTGACATCCGACTCTCAATGGGTTCCTCGTGGTCACGAACTTTCTAACACCCTGGTACCAAACGTGCGACTGGGTACTCCCCGTGACATCAACTTGCACATTAAACCCAGAGAACTTTGTAACGACACAGGGCACTTCATCCACCAACTTATCATCATTTACATCTTCAGGTCTTTTGGTAAACAGCATATTCACCGGCTGTACATTTAACTTCAAATGAGCTCAATGCCTCCTGCCGACGGGTGCTCAGCCAACGAGTGCCCTGGATGGTTACTATAGTGACTGATGATTTGAAATGGTGCGGACATAAACTTTAAAAAAAACATAATATGCAGTGTTTAATGCGAAAAAAATCAAATAAGATCATCTTTCAAAAATGAAAGGAATATCAAGTGTTGGTTATTATTAGATTCTAGATATAAATTTTTCATTTTAACAAAATCAGCTGATCTGCGGAAGTCGAACATTTGAAGTTTGTGTGTAGGCTGGAGTTCTGGCTGTTCCTTTTTAGCTCACCTGGTCCGAAGGACCATGGTGAGCTTATGCCATACCGCAGCGTCCGTCGTCCGTCGGTCAACTTTTCCTTTAAAGCGCTACTAGTCCTAAACGGCCAAGTAGATTTTGACTAAATTTGGTCTGGAGCATCCTAGATAAAATATTTTAGCATGAGACAATTAGTATTGCTTCATATCATGAGATGTACTCTAAATAAATCAGAATTAAGTACAATGCAATGAGCTATACTTAACTTAAAAAGCTAATTATACAAAACCTCATAAAAAAGGGGCACTTGTTTACCTGCCACACAAATGAGATTCTACTTTTGTTTATCTGTATTGATGAAAATGAGTAGAAGTTACACCTTATAAGAATGAAGAACTGGGATAATCGTGGCTATAACCTCTCTAACTAGTATTGCCTGAACAGGTATTGTAGAGGAAATATTATCATTGTATTCATCTTGTTTTCCATCTTTGTAGCTCCATTAAAAATGGAACATGCACAGTCGACAGTTAATTCCATCACTACCTGTACAGACTTTTCTAAAATATCTCTTGGGCGCTCTTCAAGAACTTATCAAGATGAAGATAGGAACAAAAAAGGTAAAAGCATGCAGCCTGTCCGATAGTATAAAGATTGTGTACAAGATATGTCATTATAGAAGTCCAATCATAGATCAGGTGATTCAAAATACCATCTTATTGCAATAGACCAGAGCTACTGAAAAATTAAAAAAGTCCTCCATTGGCTTGGTGGTACTAAAAGCTCACCTTGTTAATTGCACGACCAAAAACACATGAGAGAAACATAAATGTATTTAACTGTTTTACAAGACTTTTGAATGTGTCCAAAATGAAATTAAGTAAATGGCAGTGTGTTCTGAGTAATTGGGAAAATGATCATTATCAGGGACTAGATATTCATAATGTATATTATTACTTGAATTATATTATAAGGTGAATAGATGTACATTATTTAATGTACTTAATTTTATTTCTTTGTAGATCCATCCGAAAGGGAATTGCTGTTAGCCTTATCAGGTAAGAGTAGTTGTCAAGGTGTAGTATTCTAATGCATAAATTTCTTTTACCAGTGCATTCTGTAATATTTTTAGGTCACCTGAGACAAGGTCTCAAGTGACATATTGCGATCGCCTTTTGTCCGGCGTCGTCCGGCGTCCGTCCGTAAACAATTTACATTTTCGACTTCTTCTCCAAAACCCCTTAACCAATTTCAATGAAATTTTGCAGAAACCTTCCATGGCCAAAGGTCAACTAAAATTGTGAATTATATGGTCCCCAGCCCCCAGGGGCAAAATTTGTTATGGTTTATAAAGGCAAATGATACTTTGAATATTACATGTTAACTTGATTTGAATTATAACCCTAAGTTGACAGTTTGATACTTTGTGAATTTTGATCCATCCCTACCCCCAATGGCTGTAGAGTGGGGCCCAATGGTGTCTGTGTGCTAAAATAAAATTTCATTTTCCTTGTTTAGAATCAGAAGTGCTAGTTTCAAATACTTTTCAGTCTTAAATCTGCATGCTAGATATTGAATAAGGTGGTTTTATTGTTTTTTGTCACTTTGAATAATATTTCTGTTCATGTTAAAAACAAAAATCAACTCTCTGTATAAATATATCAGGTGACCGTTAAGGCCCATGGGCCTCTTGTTAACATAGGATAACATTTGTCTTATCTGAAACTCAAAACAATTTGGATAGAATATACAAAGGGATTTTAACCAAATTTGGTCTAGAGCCATTCTTGAAGGAAGAGGACTTAGTTTTCTGTAATACGCTACTAGTCCTGAACGGCCAAATGGATTTTAACTAAATTTTGTCTGGAGCATCTTTATGCCAAGGGCATTTCATTTTTAGGTCACCTGAGCTTTGCTCAAGTGACCTATTCCAATCACTTTCCGTCCGTCGTCGTGCATCGTGCGTCGTGCGTAAACTTTTACATAATCAACTTCTTCTCAAGAACCAGTTGATGGAATATTTTCAAACTTGGTCAGAATCATCCTTGGTAGATGAGGATACCAAATTGTAAAATTGGGATTCCTACCCCAACCCTAGGGGCCAGGGCGGGGCCCAAAAGGGAAAATTAACCAATATTTCAAAAACTTCTTCTCCAGACTCAGAGGTATTACAGTCATTTTCTCTGCATGGATGGAAAGATCATCAGGGGCTTTATTAAAATTGTAAATTTCAGGACCCCCGAGCTATCCGTTCTCCCTTGGGGAGGGGGTAAAGTTTACTATAGTTTATATAGGGAAACAACACTTTTGGGTATATTTTGACAATTTTCTGTTGGAAATTATTTTTACTTGGTCAGAATCATCCTTGGAGGAGGAAGATGGTTTTAAATTGTAAAATTGGGATTCCTACCCCAACCCTAGGGGCCAGGGCGGGGCCCAAAAGGGAAAATTAACCAATATTTCAAAAATCTTCTTCTCCAGACTCAGAGGTATTACAGTCATTTTCTCTGCATGGATGGAAAGATCATCAGGGGCTTTATTTAAATTGTAAATTTCAGGACCCCCGAGCTATCCGTTCTCCCTTGGGGAGGGGGTAAAGTTTACTATAGTTTATATAGGGAAACAACACTTTTGGGTATATTTTGACAATTTTCTGTTGGAAATTATTTTTACTTGGTCAGAATCATCCTTGGAGGAGGAAGATGGTTTTAAATTGTAAAATTGGGATTCCTACCCCAACCCTAGGGGCCAGGGCGGGGCCCAAAAGGGAAAATTAACCAATATTTCAAAAATCTTCTTCTCCAGACTCAGAGGTATTACAGTCATTTTCTCTGCATGGATGGAAAGATCATCAGGGGCTTTATTTAAATTGTAAATTTCAGGACCCCCGAGCTATCCGTTCTCCCTTGGGGAGGGGGTAAAGTTTACTATAGTTTATATAGGGAAATAACACTTTTGGGTATATATTTTATCCATTTTCAGCAGAAAATTACTCAAACTTAGTCAGAATCACCTTTGGTGAATGAGAGTATTACTTTGGAAAATTGGGATTCCTGCCCCATCCCCAGGGGCTAGGGCGGGGCCCCAAAGGGAACATTTACCAATATTTTCAAATTCTTATCCTTTGATGACATGGCAAGTATTGTATTTCACTTAGTTTACATGCTGATTTCCACATCACATCTAAACAATAAATTAAAGCTACCAGTACCTATGATATAACTCAGGTGACCGCTAAGGCCCTTGGGCCTCTTGTTAAGGGATTTAATCCTAACTTTGTCTGGAGCATCATTGGGCAAAGGGCATTTAATTTTGTATAAACAGTGGCCGTGGCCCCCCTAAGTGTGGAGGGGTGGGGGTGAATTGGAGAAATTCAGGTAAAACTTTTTAAAATCCTTCTATTTGTCCGTCCGTAGAATTATTTTGTCCGAACAACTCCTTCTAAAGTAATGGACAGATTTCAATGAAACTATCCAGATGTGATAACTACCACCTGAAGTTGTGCATCCAGGTATCTTTGTTTTTCATTCTGACCCTTTTTTACTAACAAATGGCTCTTTATTGAAAAATCCTGAAACTTTTTGTCCAGTCAAAGTTATGGCTCGATTTCAACGAAAAATTCCGGATATTATAACTACCACCTGCAGTTGTGTATCCAGGTATCATTAGCTCACCTGCCCGAAGGGCAAGTGAGCTTATGCCGTACCGCGGCGTCCGGCGTCAACTTTTCCCTTTAAAACCCTTTATCTCCTGAACGACTGATTTGATTTTAACTAAATGTGATATGAAGCATCCTTGGGACCAAGGGCTCAATGGATTTATGAAATAAGGGTGTGGCCCCCTCGGGGGTTTAGTAAGGGCCAAAACGGGGAAAATTTAGATTTGTTTTTAAAACAAATCTTGTTCTTTAGATGCTAGGATCAAATACTACCAATAGCTGTAATGGCATTTGGGTGGTTTATAAAATTTATGATTTTTATGTCTCCCAGGGCCGCCGTTTACTCCTGAGGAGGGGGTAAAATTTAGTATAGTTTATATGGGAAATAGACATGACGGGCCATATCTTCCATTGTTTTGAAAATAATTTGTTCATATTTAAGAGAAATACTTATTAGGGGAGGAGGGTCTGCTGGTATAAATCGTGTGAGCCTGCCCCCCTAAGGGGCTGAGTTAGGGGCCGAAAAGGGGGGAATTTAGGGAAATTTCAAAAATCTTCTTCTCCAGTTCTAGAATACTAATCATAACTCCTGGTGAGGGGGTTAAATTTAGTATAGTTTATATAGGAAATATACATAATAGGCCATATCTTCCAATGTTTTGAACGGAGTTTGCTCATATTCGACAGAAATACTTGTTAGGGGAGGAAGGTCTGCTGGTATAATTTTTGTGACCCTGACCCCCTAGTTGGTTTGGGGTGAAAAAGGAAGCGTATTTCAAAAATCTTCTTCTGCAGTTCTAGAAATGCTAGAATCAAATACTACTCATAGCTGTAAAGGCCTTCGAGTGGCTTATATACTTTGTGATTTTCATGTGACCCAGGTTCCTCATTTGCCTTTGGGGAAGGGGTAAAGTTTGGTATTGTTTATATAGGAAATAAATATAATAGGCAAGATCTTCCATATTTGATTTCAATAAAGAAATCCAATAATTGCGCACCACAGAAAGTTTTAGAACTATTGTGAATTAATGAGGATGTTATTTAAAAAAGGAAAAAACGATCGTCCCGTGAAATAGGGTCTTCAGGCACCTGTGGACAGTCGTTGTGACATGACCAGTACAAAAGTAAAATAAAATTGATTGGACAGCAGCTTCACCCCCGACCCTGTGTTTAAAGTCGCCCAAAGGAATAAGCACCGACTTTTGCTCCTATGGACCTGTGTGCCTTAAGGCTACTTAGGTGACAAATCATGATTTGTGTTAATCAACTTTAAATTGTTTAAATCACATACTTTTTATCTCCAACCCAACTAATGTGCTAGTAATAGTAACAACCTTAATTCTTTATGAATTATAAAGTCTCCATAGTAACGCTTCCAAGTTCTTACCCTACATGTCTGAAGTTGTGCCATGTTTGCTTAAATAACCAGATGAGCGATACAGGCCCCCTCTTGTTTTTTTATTCTGACCATTTTTTTTTTTTACAAAACTATGACCCTTTGTTGAAAAATCCTTTTCCGGACAACTCTTCCAAAACTACTGGACCAATTTAAACGAATGTTTCCAGATATGATAACTACCACCTGATATTGTGCATCCAGGTATATTTTTTTTTCATTCTGGCCCGTTTTAGGGAGTTATTGCCCTTTGTTGAAAAATGCATGCCCGCACAACTTCTCCAAAACTTCTGGGCCAATTTCAATGAAAATTTTCACATAAAAGTTAACTACCACCTGATGTTGTATATCCAGATCATTTTTTCAATCTTTCCCTTTTTTGGAGTAATGGCCCTTTATTGAAAAAATACTTGTCCAGACAACTCCTCCAAGACTATGTGGCCAATTTCAACGAAAGGTTTCAGATATGATGACTACCCTATGATGTTGTGCATCCAGATTTTTTTTTACCAACCTTTTTTATGGAGTTATGGCCCTTTGTTGAGAAATTCTTGTCCTAACAACTTCTCCTTATCTACTGGGCCAATTTTAAAGAAAGTTTACAGATATGGTAACTGCCCCCTGACATTGTGCATCCAAGTAGTACTTTTTCATTCATAGCAATCCTTTTAAAAGGAGTTATGGCCCTTTGTTGAATAAACCTTTGTCTGCCTTATAAACTACTCGGCCAATTTCAATAAAAGTTTACAGATATGGTAAATACCCCCTGATGTCGTGCATCAGGCAATTTTTTTTCATTTTGACGCTTTTTAAGGAGTTGTGACCCTTTCTTAAAAATCTTTGTCTGACATCTTTTCCTTAACTAATAGGACAATTTCAGCAAAACTGGTTCATCTGGGCAAACAAGATTTGTAAGTAAGTATGTTTTAGTATTGGGAGGGAGTATATGTCAGTGACCTATTTACTTAAATAAGTGTACACCTTAGTCAATAAAGAAATCATTACTGGTGGGAGACTTTATTGCTTTGCAATGCTTTTCAATGCTTTGCCTTAGTAAGCCTTTAGCTTACAGTTTTGGTTTATATAGGAGCGGGGGTATTAGTTAAGCCTTTGGCTTACAGTTCTAGTTTAGTCTGAAGCATCCTTTGGCCAAGGGTACTCAATTTTGTGTAACTGGTGGGTGAGGCCCCCTTGGTTCAAGCTTTGTTATTTGAATAGACTTTTAAATTACCTTATCTCAATAAACAGAAGGTCTATGATGGTGATATTTGGCAAGTTGCATGCTGAGATGAAGGGCTATAAAGTCTGTTCAATGTAATAAATTTGGTTTGACTTGCGAGGTCACATTAGGTTCTTTTGAATGACTCATTAATATTGTTGTTTTGGCTCTAGCTTTATTTTAGATCACTTCTAAGGTTACAAGTGTGAGATAAATACCAGGCGAGCGATGCAGGCCCATTTGGCCCCGTGTCATATATGGAAGACATCTGAACTTTATAAAGGGAATCTCAAGCACAGTATATTTTATGTATATCAATCTCTGGTTTAACTTTTTCAGATTCAGAAACAGTTTCTTCTGGTGAGGAGATAGCTGGGGATCCATTCAATTACTGCAATATTGCAGTTCTCCTCAAGACATTTAAGCCCTATTTTGAAATCCGTGGATCTGCTTTTAACCAGTGGATCGATAAATTGAAGTTGAAGGTAAGTAGAGTATTAGTTTAACCCTTTCACCCCTAGGTAACTTTAGTACACTCTACCATACATTGATCTGGATGAGTCTATTATGGTCTATAGTGGTGAAAGGGTTAAGTCATGTTGTATTATACACATGTATACAGTGACATACTGTATTTTACTGGTGATAAGCTCAAGGGGCTTATACATGAAAGTATGTCAAAAGTAGGGGGTGGGCTTATTTATGCCCCACCGGTTCACATATTTCGTCTGTCCGTCCTTCTGCCTGGACATATCTTCTATACTGTTTCACCTGGAGTAACCAGATTTGGTGTACAAAAACATCTTTAGAGAGCAGAGTGCAAGAATTAGGTCACTGAGACCTATGACCTTGACCTTTGACATTTACATGGAGTAACCAGTTTTGGTGTACAAGGTCATCTTGTGAAGATGTATTTGTTAAATAAAGAAATTGTTACTGATGGGGGACTATGGATTACCTTGCAATGCCCTGGCCATAAAATGTGGGGCATATAGTGTTACCCATGTCCGTCCCGTCCCGATTCAATGTAAACACTTAGCAACTTAATTCTTTGACAGATTTTGGTCAAACTTTATACAAAGGTCAAGTATGAGTATACTTCGGACATCGTTTTATTTAAGGGATCCAAGGTCAAGGCCAAGGTCACACTTGCTATATATACAAAATCATCAACTGATTCAATTTAAACACTTAGCAACTTCATTCTTTCATGGATTTTGGTCAAACTTTATGCAAAGGTCAAGTATGAGTATACTTCGGACATTGTTGTGTTTCAGGGTTCCAAGATCAAGGCCAAGGTCACTGTTGCTTTATATAGAAAACCATCCACTGATTCAATTTAAACAACTTCATTAATGGAGATGGTAATAACATACAGAAAAAGCATATGAGTATTAAAATCAACTTTAAGTGTAGTACCTTGTGTGAGTGCATGTTTCAGGGTATCAAGATTAAAAGTCGTTGTAACTTTTTTTTATAGAACACTGAAACTAATTTCACATGGCAGCGGGGGCATTTATGTCTTACAGACATTTTCTAGTTCTTTTTACCAGACATGGGGTTATCACTGGTAAAATTAATTACCATAAGTCTTTCACAACATATCATTTTCCCATCGAAACCTATGTTAATAAACTTAATTTCATTAATATTTTTGACTTTTATGTTTGGTCTCCTTTTGATAAAGATTTGCACACAGCTAAAGAACTATTCTACTTAGGTATTGAAATATCTCTTTCATTTCTGCATAGAGGTTACTTGTGACGCCAATCCCATAGACACAATGTTATCTTTTGCTGTAGAAATTGTTTTGGTAAATTAACTTATCATAATTATACTTCTAAGAAATGGATAGTTATGTAAATATAACCAGCAAAAATTCAGGATGATATGCTAGTTGTGTGCTGGTCTTCATGAAAATCGAACGAAAAAAGGAAATCAGGAAAACTTAGTTCAATTACCATACAACGTTGGTGCAGGCAAAATCGTCACATTAGTAAGGGTTTCAGTTAACGATTAGTCCAAATATACATGTATCAAAATGAAGATGAGCACCAGTACAGAAGAAGATTTGACTGAAATGCCTATATATAAACATTGTTGTAAACATGCCTGAATGACGTCACGCAGTAACATTTGTGACGTCATCAGGCCTTCCATGGTTTTGATCAAATATAAGGTGCAGTCAGTTTCGCCACATGTAAACATTTCACTTTGCAAGTAATATTAGTGTTTAAATGTAACACTTTGTATGTTTATTAGCTCACCTGCCCGAAGGGCAAGTGAGCTTATGCCATGGTGCGGCATCCGTCGTCCGTCCGTCCGTCGTCCGTCTGTCCGGCGTCAACTTTTTACTTTAAACAACTTCTCCTCAATAACCAAAAGGCCCAGGGTACTGATATTGGGCATGTAGCATGCTGGGATAAAGGGCTACAAAGTTTGTTCAAATAAATGACATTGACACACTTTCAAGGTCACAGGGGTCAAATATGTTAAAATCTTCAAACAACTTCTTCTCAATAACCGAAAGGCCCAGGGTACTGATATTATGCCTGTAGCATGCTGGGATAAAGGGCTACCAAGTTTGTTCAAATGAATGACCATGACCCACTTTCAAGGTCACTGGGGTCAGATGTCTTAAAATCTTCAAACAACTTCTTCTCAATAACCAAAAGGCCCAGGGTACTTATATTGGGCCTGTAGCATGCTGGGATGAAGGGCTACCAAGTTTGTTCAAATGAATGACCTTGACCCACTTTCAAGGTCACTGGGGTCAGATGTCTTAAAATCTTCAAACAACTTCTTCTCAATAACCAAAAGGCCCAGGGTACTTATATTGGGCCTGTAGCATGCTGGGATGAAGGGCTACCAAGTTTGTTCAAATAAATGACCTTGACCCACTTTCAAGGTCATTGGGGTCAGATGTCTTAAAATCTTCAAACAACTTCTTCTCAATAACCAAAGGCCCAGGGTACTGATATTGGGCCTGTAGCATGCTGGGATCAAGGGCTACCAAGTTTGTTCAAATAAATGACCTTGACCTACTTTCAAGGTCGCAGGGGTCAAATGTGTCAAATACTTCAAACGGCTTCTTCTGAAGAGCTGAAAGGTATAGAATCTTCATATTTGGCTAATGGGTTTCTGGGATTGAGCCCCACAAAATTCCAAAATGAAAATGACTTTGACCTACTTTCAAGGTCACAGGGGTCAAATGTGTCAAATACTTCAAACGACTTCTTCTGAAGATCTAAAACGTATATAATCTTTATATTTGGCTGATAGCTTTCTGGGATGGAGCATGACAAAGTTTGCAAATTAAAATGACCTCAATTTTACTAGGTCACAGATCTAGAGGTCAACAAAATTGTAAAGGATTTGTTCTGAAGAACCAAAAGGAATGGGTTCATAAGATTTGGCTGGTAGCTTTTTGGGATAGATCTAACAAAGTATGAGAAGAAAAATGACTCTGACCTACTTACAAGGTCACAGGGAAAAATATGTCAAGTAACTTCTGATGAAGAACCAAAAATCATAGAATCTTATAATAATATTTGTCTGGTAGTTTCAACAGATGGAGCCGACAAAGTTTGCGAGGGAAATATTTGTAGTGCAATATAATATTTAATGAGAATATTTTCTATGACTGCTAAAATATTCAGGTGAGCGGTACAGGCCCTCTCGGCCTCTTGTTTCAGTATCCAGGATAATTCCTAGAGATTCTAAGCTTTCGCACGGTCCAATAGTTTTGTGGGGTGAAATTGGTATGTTGAGTTTCATAAACCCATAGACAGAATAGCCATTGTCCGTTCAGCTACTTGGTATGGTGCTTCGATTGTCAGAAAGTCATCCAGTTAATGAATTATATAATCTATCATATTGTTATTAGATAAGATCTAGCACATAGCAGTTGATAGTTGATCAAAGATCTTGGGACTTAAACGACATCCGGAAGTGAGTTAAGTATAGAAATAGTACTGATTGTTCCAGCATATACCTTAAAACGGCCAAAGTTGTGGATACATAGGTAGAAGTTTGAAGGCGTCTGTATTGTCCAGTTTGCATAACATAACTGTCTTCCAGAGTGTTGAATTTGTTTAATGGCGTCATCAACACTAATATAAGATGGAGAGTATTCTTCTTTCTCAATCAGTTCATTGATACTATAGTCTTCGGAATCATGAGGTGCTGAAAGATCCACAATTAAGCGTTTTTTTACCTGAATATTTTGGCGTCGCTATACCTATAGGGTTGATACGGTAAATATCAAAAGGTGGCTCTGTAAAGGGTCCAATGAGGAATTTCTTGTCAAGTTCACTTGCTTTGAGAGGATTCACAACGTCCCCTTGAGTAGTAGCACTTCACAAGTTTTTACAAACTAACGTTGAGATACATGTATTAAAACCGTTAGATAACCCGGAAATCAAAGTTTGTACAAATTCTTTGTCAGGATGGTTCTTTAACTCAAATTCCAATGCCACAATATTTATCGGAGTAGACACTTCCGAATCAATGTTTCCCTGTAGTCATTGTTTTGTGGATTCTTTGTTTTTTGTGGTCTTTGCTGATTTTACTGAGCTCTTTACAACATGGAGGTACGGGCAGTTATCCCGGGTACAACCATCTGCGTCATTAAAGTTGTTGCAGACCTAGACCTCTTTGCCTTGGTACATTACACGAGTCCATCCTTTTTCTATCAGCCTGACTATCTACTTTCCTGTTGTTTGATTTGAGGTTGATGTTTACTTGAGGATGCACTGTTGCACCATTTAGAACGAGGGGGCTAAACTCTTCAATGTGGCTCAGCTTGCTACACAACTTGCAACTGTTACACTTAAACCCTGAGTATATGGTGGTGTAGAGTTGATTGTCTCTAATTGCCCAGTTGACCTTAATGCCTCACTGATGCAGGAGGGCTGATGCCCTGGCGACAAATGCCTTATGATATTCATAGACAATAGGGCCAGAGTATGAAAGTGTCAGTTCTACAATATCACGTTTGTATACATCCAATTCTTGATTTACGATATATAGACAAGGCCTTGACGAACTCTCCAAGTGTTAGTGACTTGCAGAGTCTTGGATCGATTTGTACTTTGAACATCTGGACTCCTACTTCAGTGAAACGATTGTATCGAGTGCTATCATTATCAAAGGTAGGTAGTAATAAAAAAACACGGTTTACATCCTTACCTTCGATAATCTGTTGGCGGACAGCAGTACTATTTCTACAGCAGGGACAGACTGATGATATACCTGTCTGCTGTAGGAGGAGGCCGTGTGGAGGTGTTACCAGTCCACCATCTGGACTAATATCTGGTTGGCTGGTTGCTGGAACTACAGTTTTTGCAGTGTTCTGTGTCTGTGAGATCAGCATCGGGCCATGACCTGACATGGCCATAGCTGGACCCACTGTGTTCCTGTTTTGACGCAGGATCAACTGTTCCAGACGCCCAACATGGTCCTGCAGTGCTTGTAAGGTTTCTGATGAACAAGCCTGGCTGATGGAAGTAACATCAACATTTGTAGTGGTATTTGATGGTGACGTTATGTCCATTGCCTCAGTTGATGCAGTTGACACTGTCATTGGTGGCTCCTACATTCTCCTTGTATAATTGAATTAGCATTGTCTTGCTAAACCCCTTGGGTGGTATTATGCTCAGTCCGAGTAACTTGGACCGAAGTTCACTTACAGTCCAGTCCAGTTTATGTTCTGCGGTCATGTGATTCATAGATACATGAGTCCTAAAGTCACTGTCACTCGTTACTGTGTTGTTGTCGATTGCTCTTCGTTTACGCCCACGACCAGACATAACTAGGATTGACATTAGAACGATGTAATCCTGTTGTTTGTGGTTATGTAGTAAGCTTAGGTAGAAATGTATAAGTCTCTTGGAGGCCAGCAAAGACACAGTGTTTTTGTAATATGACTGTATAGCTTGACCATCAGAAAACAACTGGGCAGTTGGCTAGAACTGTTAGAACAAAGAGCACTTGTCATGTGACCCCTGAGGCCAGGGGGGGCAGGGCCCTGAGGGGGAACCTAGCTAAATTTGCTTTAAAACGCATCTTCTCCTAAACGAGGTTTCAACCAAATTTGCTCTGAAACTTCATTGGGGGAGGGCAATCATTTCCTAAATAAATGAGACTGGTTCGACCCCTGGGGCTAGGAAGACTGGGCCCCAAAGAGGAAAATTATCTGATATTTTGCTTTAAGACGCTAATATCCACTAATTGCCTAAGTGGATTGTACAAAATTTGGTCAAAAACATTATTGAGGAAGAACAAACATTTCTTAATTAGGGCCCCGTATCGGAGATACGGGTGCCCTATAGTAATTCCTGGCTGATAACTTTAGTATTAATTGACCGATTTACATGAAACTTGGTCCAGCTGTTCAGTTCACAAAAATACATACTGAGGTAAAAAGTCAAGGTCAAGGTCGTAAGGCTCAAAGGTCCAGGTTGAAATCTGCATCTTTTCACTGATGAGCATTTTGTTATGACATTATGAAGAAAAGTTGATCAAAATTAAACAAGGAGTCAACTGACTAAAGGTCAAGGTCATGGGGTCTAGGTCAAAGGTCAAGGTCAAATTTTGTAGCTTTTCACTAATGATCATTTCAAATTCTGCATCTTTTCACTGATGAGCATTTTGTTATGACATGATGAAGCAAAGTTGATCAAAATTAAACAAGAAGTTAACTGACCAAAGGTCAAGATCACTGGGTCAAAGGTCAAGGTCAAATTTTGTAGCTTTTCACTGATGAACATTTTGTTATGACACTAAGAAGCAATGTTGGTCGGTATTAAACAAGGAGTCAACTGAATAAAGGTCAATGTCATTGGGTCAAAGGTCAAGGTTAAATTTTGTATCTTTTCACTGGTGAACATTTCGTAATGACGCTTTGAAGCAATGTTGCTCAGATTTAGACAAGGAGTCAATTGAATAAAGGTCAAGGTTGCTTGGTCAAAGGTCAAGGTCATTTTTTTATCTTTTCCCTGATGAATATTTTGTTATGATATTATGATGCAAAGTTGGTCGGAATTTAACAACGAGTCTACTGACTTCTGGTGAAGGTCACTGGATCAAATGTCAAGGTCAAATTAAGTATCATTTCTCTAGTTGCATTTCGTTATATATAATTAAGACACTTTGAAGCAAAGTTGGTCGGAATTTAACAAAGTTCAACTGACTTCAGGTCAAGGTCACTGGGTCAATGTCAAGGTCAAATATTGTATCTTTTTACTGATGAACATTATTTTTATGTTTATATTAGGCAAAGTTGTTCAGAACTTAAAACGGAGTCAACTGACCCAAGGTCCAGGTTACGGGTCCTAAGGTTCAAGGTCAAGGTCAAGATTTGTATTTTTCACTGATGAACATTTTGTTATGATATTATGCAGCAAAGTTGGTCGTAATTTGAAGAATAATTCAACTGACCAAAGATCAGGGTCACTAGGTTAAGGGCCTGGTCAGTTGGGTCCAAAGGTCAAAGACAAAGTGGATCTCTGACTTTGACCCTGGCACTTGATGGAGGAGGTATTTAGGGTGAAATAAAACAAAGCTAACAAATGAGTATTGCGCCGGTATTTACATTTCTGTTAGCCCAGCAAATATGGAGTTGGAAGGAAACAAGACCCACATCATAGTAGATGTAAAATGTATATTTTGCTTCCTTTGATTATGGGAGATATATTGCCACAATACGGGGCCCTTCCTGACCTGTCAGTGTTCTAGTTGAATGAGTTTGATTTGACCCCTGCGGTCCTAAGAAATGGTACAGCTAGATTATCATATTCTATGATGTAGTTTTCATAAATTGTTAAAAAATGGTTTCTAGGTTTATCAAAGCTTATAGTTGAATGAACATTAAAGTATTGTCTAATTACACCCTGTAATATGACATATTACTTATTTCAAAATCTGTTAACATAGCAACTCAATGGAGGCAGCTCTGATTAGTTGAAAGTCAGATATTGTGGTCCCAGTTGGGTTAGAACATAGATCTTGTCTGGTTTTGAGTAAATTTCATTTAAAGATGTACTAATGCATTCAGTTGTAATGACTTAAATATATAAACCAGGTGAGCAACACAGGTCCAATGGACCTCTTGTTTATATTACAGGAGCTTACAACTCTAAAGACTATGTTCAAGTATGTTAAGGAACAGACCTGGAAATCAGTGATCATATTTTTCCTCTGTGGCAAAACACAAATAATGAAGAAAGACTGCTTTGGAAACCCGTTTGAAAGATTGCTGAACTTCGCCAAAAGAGACCACCTGTTGGAATATCAGCAATACTATTCAGAGGTTGAAGAAAGACCACCATCACATGACATAATTAATGGAATGATTCGTAGAAAGTAAGTGTACTTCATGTTGACTTTGTTTTCATTAATCCCCCATTTCTATTAAGGCATTCACTTTATGCTTGTGACTATCCATCCCAGTTTCAGGGAACCTATCTTAACAGTTCATTGTATGGACTTAAAAAATGATTTATAGGTACTTCATGTAAAGGCACTGTATCACAAATAAAAACCGGACAAGTATGAACTTATTGTTAAAAATCTTTTTATGAATTTAGTTTTACCAACTTTTTATAAAAAGGTCACCTGAGACAAAATCTGCTCTTATTTCAGGTTAAAAGCAGGAAAATGTTCCTTTCAAGAAGCAGTCGACTGGGTTTTGAGTGGGAAGTAAGTACACTTAATACTTCTGAATTATCAACTTGATTAAATTTATATCATTTCATATTACAATATGCAGAATGTGATATCCCAGGTTTTCCTTTATATGATTTTACATCTGTAGATAAAGGGCTTTTAGGATGTCACTGCGGCATGCCAGGTAAATTCATAGTTGATGTGGCATATATTTTATTATACGCCCGTTTAAATTCAATATTATGGTATAGCGTTTGTGTCCGTCCGTGTTTGGGACTTCACTTTTCTCGCGCAATCTCTTGAATTGGTTAAAGTTTTGGTGCAAGTTTCTTCAGTGGTTAACGGTTCAGTTACATCATGTATTATTGTCCTAATTTCTGGCATGGATGTTCATGCGGGGTCCAAGAAGGACAATATGAATTTAATTTGGAAAAATAATTCCTATTTTTGGAAATTTTGGACGTGTTTGGGACTTAACTTTCCTCGTGCAATTTCTCGGTTAAAGTTTTGGTGCCAGTTTCTACAGTGGTGTACAGTTCAGTCAGATCATGTGTTATTGTCCTTATTAGGTACGTAAAATATCAAACAAACAAAAAATCATTGGATAGGGTCAGACGGGCATATTATGCATCCGTTTGCAGTGCTCTTGTTTGTTTAACCCATTCAATTAGAGGACAGTGTTAAGGTAAAAGTAGTATAGCAATTGCTATTTATACTATACAGAAATTGTTTTTGAAAAAAAAGGATCTATGTGTTCTTTTTTGTAATACGCTGCTCAGGTTTTAGTTGGCACTTTTCTTATATTCATTGTAAATATACTTATAACACCACTTGAATATACAATTGTTGGTAAATTTGATTAAATCAGAACTACTATACATGCCAGATTTCAGGGCGTTGAACATAAAATTACGGTAGGTCCTCAAGGTGAGCTTATGCGCTATCGTCTATTGTCCGTCCTTCAAAAATATTTTCAAATGACTTTTTCTTCTTAACCATGATTGTAGTTTTACCAAATTTGACTGAAAGCATCCCTGAGTAGTTGGATTAAAAAATGTACAAATGGAGGGGCTAAGGGGTTAATTTGGGGGGGGGGATTGCACTGATTGGCAGTGCCAAAAAGAGATAATTTGGTCATAATGCTTTAAGCGACTTCTTTGGAACTAAATGATGGATGTCAACCATATTGAGTTTGGAGCATTCTTACGTGGGAGGGGTTCAAAATTGTATCAGTTGAGGGCTGACCCGTGAGTCTGATAGGTTTGGGTAAAAAGAGTTTTTGACTTAAACATTATCCAGATTCCAACCCTATGTTACAATTGCTGAGCATATAGAGATGAACACACATATGTTATCAGGATGGCTTACAGGTTTGGACATAACTTTATATACAATTGATTGACACAAATATATTAACACAATCATGATATTAGAATTTTCTCTTGGGTCTGGCCGCACCACAGGGGATTTAATTCCTGACCTATAACTTTGAACCGGTTGAGATCTCCATCCCATGGACATAATATCCATGGGTACAACGCAGTTGAGAGAACTTTTCGAGAGAATGTAAACCTTTCGTTAGGGGTTCTAGCAACAGCGACAAAAACAAACATAGTCCCATATATAAGTCATATATTATTATCATATACTTAACATAACATATTTTAGCTTTAAAATGAAATCAATCATGTTTAATGCTAATTCATACTAGCATATCTAAACTACTTTGAGGGCTATTTCACCAGGGAGGTGGACCAAGTACACCTTATTCAACGCCATCCTAGTGTATCGATACGCACCGATAGGTCACCTGTGTTAGGCAAAAATTAATGTCATTTTCGTCAATGGGTCCAATTCAAGTATACAGAATGTAAAAATAACTTACATAACCTATTATTAGCTCACCGGGTCCAAAGGACCAAGGTGAGCTTATGCCATACCGTGGCGTCCGTTGACCGTCTGTCCGTCGTCCGTCGTCTCTACATCAACAATTGCTGTAAACGACTTCTTCTTAACCACTGATTGGAATTTAACTAAATTTGACTGAAAGCATCCCTAGGTGGTGGGGATTGAAAATTATACAAATAGTTGGGCTGAGGGGTGGGGCCAAAAGAGGGCAATTAGGCTATATTGCTTTCAGCGACTTCTTCTCTGGAACTAAGTGATGGATATCAACCATATTTGACTGGAAGCATCCCTAGGTATTGGTGATTCAAAATTGTACAAATGGTTGGGCTGACCCCCCAGGGGGCAATTTGGCTATATTGCTTTAAGCGACTTCTTCTCTGGAACTATGAGATGGATATCAACTATATTAGACTGGAAGCATCCTTAGGTGATGGGGATTCAAAATTGTACAAATAGTGGGTATGACCCCCCCAGGGGGCTGAGGAGCGGGGCCAAAAGGGGGCAATTTGGCTATATTGCTACCAACGACTTCTTCTGTAGAACTATGCACTGGATATCAATTATAATTGATCAAAAGCATTCATAGGAGGCAGGGATTCAAAGTTATACAACTGGTGGGGTTGACCCCAAAGGGGGCTGAGAGGCCGGGCCAACAGGGGGCAATTAGGCTATATTGTTACAAACAACTTCTTCTGTAGAACTATGCACTGAATATCAATCATATTTAATCAAAAGTATTCATGGGAGGCAGGAATTCAAAATTGTACAAATTGTGGGGCTGACCCCCCAGGGGGCTGAGGGGCGGGGACCAAAAAGGGTTATTTGGTTATATTGCTTTAAGCAAATTATACACCAAATACACCAAAAAGTGTATTACTTTGTTGAGATCCCCAATGCATAACCATATATACAATTGCGGAGTATAAAGAAAAGAATGCACATTTTCTTCCAGGATGGCCCTAGGGTCTAGCCCCACCCTTAGAGACATAGGTAGTCCCTGGGTCATAACTTTAAAACGGGTGAGATCCCCACCCCAAAATTATGTATACAAATGCTTGGCATAAAGAGACAAATGCAGTCATGATATTATAATAGACCCTGGGGTCTGACTGAACCCCGAAGGACCTAGTTTCTTAGTCACAGCTTGGAAACAGTTGAGATCCTCACCTTATAACCATATTATTAGCTCACCTGCCCGTAGGGCAAGTGAGCTTATGCCATGGCACAGCGTCCGTCGTCCGTCCGTCCGTCCGTCAACTTTTCGTTTAAAACGCTACTCGTCCTGAACGGCCCAGTAGATTTTGACCAAATTTGGTCAGAAGCATCATTGGGGGAAGGGGAACAAATTTTGTATAAATGGTGGGTGTGACCCCCCTGGGGGCTGAGGGACGGGGCCCATTAGGGGAAATATAGCAAATTCTTTAAAATCCTTCTTCTGTAGGAATGAAAGGATTTGTTCCATATTAAGTCTGAATCATCCTTGGGTGAAGGGGAACCAATTTTGTATAAACCGTGGGTCTGACCCCCCAGGGGCCTGAGGGGTGGGGCCCAATAGGAGAAACATAGCAAATTCTTTAAAATTCTTCTCATTCTGTAGGAATGAAAGGATTTAATCCATATTTGGTCTGAAACATTCTTAGGTGAAGGGGGGACCAATTTTGTAAAAATGGTTGGTGTGGCTCCCCTGGGGGCTGAGGGGTGGGGCCCAATAGGGGAAACATAGTAAATTCTTTAAATTCCTTCTCCTTCTGTAGAAATGAAAGGATTTGTTCCATATTTGGTCAGAAGCATCCTTGGGGGAAGAGGAACCAATCTTGTATAAACCGTGGGTCTGGCCCCACAGGGGCCTGAGGTGCGAGGCCCAATAGGGGAAACGCGCAAATTATTCTTTAAAATCCTTCTTATTCTGTAGGAATGAAAAGATTTGGTCCATATTTGGTGTGGGTCATTCTTGGGTGCAGGGGAACCAATTTTGTATAAACGGTGGGTGTGGCTCCCCTGGGGGCTGAGGGGCGGGGCCCAATAGGGGAAATATAGCAAATTCTTTAAAATCATTGGTCTTCTGTAGGAATGAAAGGATTTGTTCCATATTTGGTCTGAAGCATCCTTGGGTGAAGAGGAACCAATTTTGTATAAACGGTGGGTGTGGCCCCCCCTGGGACCTGAGGGGCGGGCCCAATAGGGGAAATAGAGGTAAAACTTTTTCATCGGGATTAATGGATTTTATCCTTATTTGGTCTTGAAGATCCTATGGCTAAGGGGACTCAATTTTGTATAGACAGTGGGTGTGGTCTCCAAGGGGGCAGAAGGACGGGGCCCAATAGGGGAAATAGAGGTAAATCTTCAAAATCCTTCTTCTACCATAGGGATGAAGGGATTTCTTCCCAATTTGGTCTGGAGGATCTTGGGCAAAAGAGACTCAAAGTATAAATTGTGGGTGTGACCCCCCTAGAGGCATATGGGGTGGGGCTCTGTTTGAAGTTTGTTCTCACTATATATCAAGTACTGGATGGATCTTTCTGAAATTTCATATGTATTTACAGCACCTACCATTGAGTGCTATATCTTTACTTTATACCAATTATTTTAAACACATTCAGGTGAGCGATACAGGCCCTCTGGGCCTCTTGTATACAATTGCTGAGTATAAAGAGATGAATGGACATATGCTTCCAGGAGGGCCTTGGGGTCTGCCCCACCCTTGGAGACTTAATCCCTGGGTCATAACTCCGAAATGGTTTAGATCCCCACCCCAAAACTATTTATACAATTGTTGGGCATAAAGAGAGGAATGCAGTCATGATATTAGAATTGACCCAGGGTCTTCCCCAACCTTGCAGACTTAACCCCTGGGTCATAACTTAAAAACGGTTGAGATCTTTATAATTGATTTATTTTACATTTTACAATAATTTTGATCCTGATAAGAGTTGTCTACCTTGAAAAAGATCATTACTTTTTGCAGAGGGATAGAATTTATACAATGACACTTATTTTCTTTACTATACTAAAAACGTCGGAAATAACGATATTGTCTCAGAATATTACATTCGGGTCTATTGTTTCTATTACTGTATATTTTTTTTTCAACTTTGCTGTTTTACAAGTATAACCATTTAAACTTAATGATAATTGTATCATTCTTTATTTATAAAATCATGATCATAATGTCTTTACAGTGTCAGTGATGAACCTCGACCATATTGGCTCTCAAAAACAACTCCTTTTCTGGCATTCCATCTGTATGGCGTGTTAGAGAATTCATCACAATTACCACTCACACTGGACTACAATGGGCAAGTTACATTATTATTATAAAAAGATCAGTATAAAACCTCACATAGGAATATCGCTGGAGTTTGTTTGATGTTTTTTATTTATATATTCATTGAAAGGAAAAAATAACCAAATATCATGGATCATGATGTTTATATATAGTCATGTAAAGAAAGATTGTAACGTTTTGTTAGGGTAACATTCATTGAGCTCCTTTGTGGGTACACAGGGCTAAAACAGTCAAGCATGACAGATACCTTGTGTGACTTTGATAGCTGTTTCTTCCATATCATGTAACCCGACAAAGCTAAGCAGGATTTTTCGTAAAAAATATCATTCTACACAAGATTTTGAGGATAATCACATTAGTTTTCCATACAAGTATTTTCTTTTTGCCATTGAATAACATGTAACCTGTAACTCAAGTCCAGAGAGGTACAGCAACTGCAATGTTATTGGATGGTCATAGCCAAGCCGTTGTCGTACGGCAATTCAATATAGCCCAGTCTATATAGTATATTTACACAACTGCTTGACAAGACAGCTGAGTTTATTTCAGAACAGGACAAACATGTTGCTAATAAGTTATCTAAATTGCATTTTACAATATGTAATTTCGAAAGATTATTTAGTTTGAAAAATTAAATGGTGTAACAATTATACTGTTTTATAAATAACTTCAATTATGTATGTTTTAGGATATTATACAAGCTAGCTGGTGTGATATTCCATAGATCAGATAAGCCAAGCGGAGGTAATGATCACTACGTCGTCAGAGCGTTTGACCCCAAACAAGAAATATGGGTCTATAATACTGAATCTGATGGTGGCTGGGAGAAAGATGATGGGGATCCGAGGACAAACTCTGAACATACGTTCACTTTGTCAACTGTTGTGTATATCATAGCAGTTCCACCAGAAAGCATTATTTCTCTATCTACAAAGGCACAATGTATCAAACCACCACAAGATATATAATTATGATCACATTAAACAAATGAAGTGGTTGATATTCAAGCTGTGTATATTAATCTAAATGATGAAACAGCCTGTCTGATTGGATGATTATCTTTAGGTGTTGCATGAACAATACTAAGAAAAAATCACCATTTTACAATGTATGTCATATACTTGCTATGACAATGTATGTACCGATTCACTTAGCTGTGCAGATATGTCCAATTGGTTTGTGGTGCTGTACAAATAATCAGGGGGTTGATTCCAGTCAGAAACACAACCATCTCAAGACCGTACATGTGTCATGGCCTTTGGTACTTTGATTTGTATAGTTGTACATTCCATTTGAGAATTTATTTTAATGCAAAATTTTGGTATGTTGTTAATATTTGTACATCAATATATTTTTCATAGAAATCTGATTTCCTATTTTTAGCCCACCATCATCTGATGGTGGGCTATTCAAATCACCCTGCGTCCGTGGTCCGTCCGTCGTCCGTGGTCCGTCCGTATACAATTCTTGTTAACGGTATTTCTCAAGAAGTACCAGAGGGATCTTTCTCAAATTTTATATGTAGGTTCCCCTTGGTCCTTAGCTGTGCAGGGCAACTTTTGAGACTGATCGGATAAACAACATGGCCGACAG